TTTATATCAATATAATTGTACAATTAAATTTTTAGCCACTTCATACAAATTCTCCAAAACCTTGAACTAACTGACACGTGTCAAAAGACCAACAGCTTACTCAAGTAACTTTACACTTGGCAGAGCCAGAAACTAGTACTGTTTATCTTCTGTTTTGAAACAGAGATAAGATAATGCGTACAGACAGACAGACACTTTTTTCCCAGATTATGCTTAGCCACTCGTTTCTCCGTCCGGTACCTCCTAAGCTTTTAGAAGTTCTCTTAAAACGCCTCAGCCACATAAAAAAAATCAACGAAAAAAGAATCAAAAATCAAAAAATAAAAAGAGATTTTCTTACCTGTTTTTCGGTCTCTTACACTTCCTTGAATCTGACACGACTGCCTTTGCTGTCTCGACACGTCATCACGTGTCCTTTTATAAAAAAAAAAACATTTTCAAATCCAGCCGACGATTTGCCCTTCTACTACAAGTTTTACGTATTTTCTTTATAGCAAATAGTAATATTAAGAAATAAACTAATAATTAATACACTCTCATAATGCATGTGCTTAAAATTTTGTAATTGTTATTATGACTTTTTATAAAATGCACCTAAATGTTATTTTGTTTTATAATCTCAAATTCTTATTTATAATTTTTTTAAACATATTATAATTTTAGAGGTGAAATTCAAAACTCAATTTTTAAATCGAAAATATCTTATCTTTAAAATTGAGAGTGCATTTATAATATAATTTATAGTCATCAAATTAAAAAAATCATGTTCGAAATTCTTATTTGTGATTGTTTCATTGAATTGCCATTTAATAATGCCTATAGGATTTAAATGAGAGATAATTATAATTTAAACAGGGAAGGTTGGTGAGGTTTCCCCCTTTTTTTTTTCTCATTGTGTTTAAGAAAGAGGTTGGTGAGTTAACAACATGTTTTCACCAACTACTCCAAACTTAATTTATTTCAAAGATAAAAATCAATATTATTATTTAAGAAGTCCTTAACTTTATTTCCTTTTTATCATCACATTATTATTATTTTTGCCATAAATCACGAGATTTATCTATAA